ACTGTCTAGGGGTTATTGGGTTGATTATATAACCGTCTATTCGGTAATTACCGATTTGAAGGTTTTCATGCACAAAATGACATCCCCGTTAGTTTTATATGGGAAACAATAGCCGGGTGCATGGGTTGAATGCATGCCCCGATATATGCAGTGGTCCGTGTGACAGCTGTGTTGATAACTTAGAAAGCTTCTAAGACAATTCATGTTTTTTCAAATTCTCCATGACAATGTCAAAAGAAACTATCGATCAATGTGATAACTGCTGCTAAGCTCCAGTGTTCTGAGCCTCTGCCGCTGACACCGCTAGCATTTGCCTTTCAGCATTGTTCCCAGCAACACGTTCCTCACAACCAATAAGTTGATCCTGAGGGGTCATCCGTTCAGAAAAAGAGAAAAAAAGGTGACCCGTAGCATGTCTCAAAGTCAAAAGAAGTACAACTATGAGAAGCGTTGTAGATAACTCCCTAGGAGCATCAGAATATGCCAATGCCCAGCCGAGCAAAACCAGAAGCATAGCCATAAAGCCGGTGTGCGCCCGTATGATTATGCTTACAATTCGAAACGTCCAAGGTTTCCCGCCCTGAGCCCATTACGTAATCCAATCCAAGCTGGTACTTTGCTCGCAGGGTGGTTCATGTTGAGCTTCCGGGAGACTTTGGCCAATGAGACGTAATTCTGTATTTTCCATGGATGTCCCCGAACGCGCATTGGCTTTCGAGAGCCTCTGAAGTCTAGCCCGGTAATCTATTCCACAACCACGGTGGTGAGTAGTGTATTTCCCAATGAGGTAGCTATGCTACCTTGGAAGAAAGGTTACATACTCGACGTGCTTTGCAATGCAGCAATTATAGGCAACAGCAGTAAAGCTAAAGGAGCTACTTGCCCAAAGCCCATCTCGTTTGGATCTCCACTCATACCATCAGAGGTGGATCTTTTCGCTATGACCTCCGTAATGCCATACACATTCGCCATCAACAGCCATAAAATCCTTTGCGTGAAAGAACTTTGGAATTCATGAAAGGCCCAACTTTCGGCCAATGCTAAGCGTAAACCAAAGTGGCTTTTTCGCTGTTGCACCTTCGATAGTTTAGCAGCCTGTTTCTCGTACCACGTACGGCGTAGTCTTGATGGATTTGAATGCTGCCACGTCCTAATTGTGTCTCGGATTATCTGATACAACAGGCTAATATGACTTGTAGAGCTCGTAGGTCTGTCTCTGGATATAGATTCTGTTGCATGGTGATTGTTTTGATGACTCTCGTCGCTGTTTGAGATTGTGATTTGCGCTTCACGGCCGCTATCTGCTGCCGGATGCAGCGGTCTGTTATAGCTATTTTCTTCGTTGCCATAGTCTGCTGTGTCGGAGTCGTTGATCCCTTTCGAGTAAAGAAGGTAAATTACCTCACAGGTACCATTGAAAACTGTTACTGGCACTGTCGCTGAGGTCGCAAAGGTCAAAAAGTCGTTGCCTATTGGCTCCATATGAAAGTCTGCCAGCGCACATTTGAAAAATACATGGCTGCCGTTGGACCAAGAAACAGACATTTGGACGACGAGAAAGAAAATGAGAAGAATCGAACCTGTCGCCATCATAAAAACGGACGAGTTTGGCGATGAAGCGATCTCGCAGATGTTGAACCAACATCGGAAAAACTGTCAGATGTGTGGACGAAGCGAGGCATGCTAGGGCAACCAAAACGTTGACAGAATAGATAGTTATGGAGCTATGCCCTGCCAAGGCGGAAACTGAAATGGCGACCTGTGAAACCATTATCTGGTCGCTGACAGATAAGAGAAATGAAGTAATCGTGATGATACGGTCATCCCGAGCCTCCGTGTTGACTATTCGGCTAAGGCTAGAAATTCGGATGGCTTGACGCATGAAGACAAATAGTTGACGAAGCTGTCGGGCAACATATGCGTCCACTTCATTGACTAAGACAGCTGGGACTGAATATGTTGCGAGGGCGACAATGATAGTCAACAACGCAGTCACAGAGGTTGCAATAAAGGCAATAAGCACCTGCGAAACAGTTAAACTCAATTGTCCCTTAGGCCGACGTTGCCACATGAACTTACCCCCAAGCCAACGATGTCAGTGTCAAATTCCACCAAGCCATGTTGGACCTGCTCCTCTTGAAACTCACTTGAGCATTCCATTGTCATGCAGCATAAGCTTTTCGTTCTAATACAAGAGATGATATATGCAGAAATTCGACAAATCAATAAGGAAGTGCAGTGCGGAACAGAAAGCGGTGGCCGTTGGTGGTTATGTACCTAGTGGCACGGCTTTATGGCTTTCAAATTTTGTTTTTAAGAAAAGGCTCTGCGTAACACAAGCTTTGTCCAAATACGGATATCATAGTAAGCAGCATAAAATCAAGCCCTTGTTGCCTAAAATAGTAGATTATATGCGGCCCGGCAGGTTTTCAGCTCAGCCTGCTTCTTGGTGTCTTGCCTGATGTGGCTGCCCCCCGGGGGGGGGGGGGGGGGGGGGGGGGGGGGGCCGAAAAGCATTGTGAGTAAACCTCATGAGGTCATTCTTGGGATATGACTGACCGTCAGTGTATGATGAACTAGACACCAGATACCAGGGGATTAGAAGTTTAAAAGGGTACTTTGACATTGAATGATAAGTTATGCGCAGAAACAACTCTATAGATGTTTCGCGATTTACGCTTCAGAGGACTTACATGACTTCACTGAGCTGGGCAGATGAGCATGACCATTTTGCTATACAATGTTATGTTTTGAATAGTAAGTACTTATGTGGAAGTGTCTTGTCTATGTGTAGTCGAACTATCAAATGGCAATGAATTTTTAGCACTTGATGAGACAGTAAAAGGATTAGTGACCATCTGATTCACAACAAGAATGAGAGAATACTTCTCGAGAAAGCACGCAAATTCCTTTCAATCATATCATAATGACACTATTTTCTTTAATCAATTTTATCAGCGATGTTCCTAAGAGATGTTGCTATGATATTAGGGCGTGCAGAAAATTTCTGTACTTTTGCTCAGCCACGTTTCGCAAGGCAGTATGGCACAGAGTGAAGAGGTCTGGGAAAGAGGCCAGGCAGAGGGTCTTCAAGAGACTGCGTTCATCTTCAGCCCTTTTAATCCCTCATAGAATTGGGCATCCCATTGAATATGTGGCGAACTACTGAGTGAGGCAGTACGTGGTCTACCCCCTTACATTACCCGGCGATTTCTCCTTGTAAGGCTACCTCTAACCGCTTCGTCCTGTGACGATTCTGGTCAGTCAGACCAAGCACAAAGGCTCTCTGGAACATCATTATATCTTCTGGGCAAAATAAGGAGTTTTAGTAATATTAGTTTATCTGATTCACGAGGAAGATAGACGTCTGCCACATGTTTCTGTCATTCAGCATATCCCATCGACTCTAGCAAGACCTCACTTTTGGGGGACCATTATGCCTCCTATGTCTATTAGCTCTTTTGAACTTATGTATGATTCAGTTTCATCTAACATTCAAAACTTCGAGGTGTATCAAAAGTACTGGCGATCTCCCTTAGCATATCACGCCATCCCATGACATCAAGATCAATACGGATTGCATGGGGGAAGTGATAAACTGCTTGCACACCAGAAATAATGCGGGGTAAAAGTGGCTACTAAAGTGAGTCAAAGATATTGAAAGAACTCGAGAGACCTCATTGGGATTGCAAATTAAATAGTATTAAGTTACTCCGAGAACAAGTTTACAGTTTAGAGGTCTGGGGGATCAGAAAACGCCAACTAGTCATCATAGGTCGGTGTATTATCAGAAAATCAGGCATAAAAACATTACTGGAGGGTTGTTTGTGTGATAGTGCGTCGTTCTAATCTTTGTGAGGCCTTCAGTAGGCTCCAACAGAGCGTTTAGCGATCATTTGTAGATAGTGGGTTATTCCTAAACACTCGTAAGCGGGAGTGTACGAAGCTATCCCATCGACTGCGAGTTGGCTACAGGTACATTGTGAGCCACAAATCGGTCCACAATTTCTCCAAACTCCGTGGAAAATAGGTATGGGATTGGAACGAGGTTTACACTGTCTGTCCCTGAATGGCTACAACCCCGCAGGCTATGTACCTGTAGCCAACTCGCAGTCGATGGGATGGACTTACGGCTTTGTGTGATGCTATGTGGCTTGTTAATACATTTCAGGAACTGTGTTTGCGTTTCGTTGTGCAGTTTATTTGAATGAATTAGGTAAGATGAAGGCATATTAAGCCTAAGTGTAGATCCAAAGTACTTCAAAGAGTAATCCAGCCTCAAAAGCAGCCGATAAAGGAATTTTGCACTAAAATTGATAGAGATGTGGGATAACTTGAAATCTTCAGGCTCCATTCTACAATACCGGGTGTTTCGTCAGTTAATTTTGCTTTAATCTATGCATCTTAGCCACCATGATACTTATCCACACCAACTTTAATAGCAAAAAGCCAATTATTCTGTAAACGGGAAGTGTTTATCCATCCACGGCTATCAGTCGCTTGTCTCCCAGCAGGGGTTACCGGCTTGAGTCCCACATACCGACATCACGCATCTTTTGTCATCACTTACCAGCCAGTCCTTTTGCTTCACACCCCAGGTGATCGTCCAATATCTCTGATCCAGTGCGACGCTGAAAAGAAAGGCCACGGAAATGACGGATACCATGAACGGATAAGCTTGGCGGCGTGAAATTATCCGCCTCTACACCCGCAATCCCTACTTGCAACAAGATTTCCCCGCACCCCGCGTTTGCCAAGTCCGGGGGTTTCTGGGGTACGAGGACGTGTGTCGTAGTTAGACCCAATCTTCTCCGCGGCTTCTTGTTTTGTTATAAAGCGGTAGGCTGACCTCGATCAGATGGGCAAAGAGATATTGTTTTCCTCTCAAGCCCTTCGCGAGAGTAATGTTTGATGAGACCGAGAGGAGAGTCTGCTTCTCTCACTCGTATTCTTCCATCTTAGCGTCTTCGATCTAGTCCTCGCAAACACGTTTATTCACGATGGCGACTCACAGAAGCTCACTGAGCAAAAGCGACATTGGGGTAGTCGACCACCGGCCATCTACCGAAGCCCACCTTGAAAAGGTACCCGAAGCCATCGAGGTTGGTCCCTACCGAGTGTATGGACTCTCCCGTGAGGATGCCGACTTCTATAACAACTATCCAGAAGAGAAGAGAAAGAAAGTCTTCCGCAAGGTATGTAGGGGTCCGGACTCTTAGGAGTTAGAACTAATTAGTGTTGCATTAGGTCGACGTTCGTCTGATTCCGATGCTCGCTCTGCTGTACCTCATCTGCCATATCGATCGTGCAAACATTGGAAATGCCAAGATTGAAGGCATGGTTGAGGACTTGGGCATGACCGGTGTTCAATACAATACTGTCCTATCCATTTGTAAGGAATCTGGCGAGCAGGATGACTTGTCTTGCTTAAACCTACGCATTGTCGAATCTTTGCTAACATGTCAACTTAGTCTTTATTCCATACGTTCTTTTCGAGATTCCAAGCAACATTATTCTCAAGAAAGTCAAGCGCCCTTCCACATATCTCGGTAGCCTTACCCTAGCATGGGGCATCGTCATGACCTGCACAGGCTTGGTTAAGAACTTCGCCGGACTGATGGTTACCCGAATTCTTCTGGGAACCTTCGAGTTAGTCTTTTCGAACTGTATAACTGTGAATAATACTGACAGCCTTGGGTATTAGAGCTGGATTCTTTCCCGGTGCCATTTATCTTTGTTCCTACTGGTAAAGCCTTTCTAGTTCAGCATTTTGCAACTTCCTTTACTGACTTGAAGCAGGTATATGCCAAACGATCTGTCGACCCGTATTTCATACTTCTATTGCGCAAGTGCTCTGTCTGGTGCCTTCTCTGGTCTTCTAGCAGCCGCGATCGCTGAGATGGATGGAGTCGGCGGCCTTGAAGGATGGCGCTGGATTTTCATCCTTGAAGGCCTCGCTACCGTTGTTCTCGGTGTTAGCTGTTTCTTTTTGCTCATCGACACTCCAACACTCTCTACGCGCTGGCTCGAGCCCGAGGAGATTCGATACTTGGAACTTTCCATCTTCATCAAGCAAGGTGGTGGCTCAAAGGAGGAAGAGAGTGGGCGCAAGGTCAACTGGCACGACCTCAAGATGAACCTGACCAACTGGAGAATTTACGTCCAGGCATACTTCCTGCTATGCCAGTCGGCGCTATCATATGGCATCAAGTTCACGCTTCCGACTATTACAAAAGCCATGGGCTTCGCCAACACGGAAGCCCAATTGCTTTCAGCCCCACCATATGTCGCTGCTGCTATTTCGGCCATTACATTCGCCAAACTCTCTGATCGTTTCTTCTGGAGAATGCCGTTCCTCGTCATTCCCCTTGCGATCGTCGCTATTGGGTATTCCATTATTCTCTCCCTTAACGGAGCTCTCGAGGCAAAGAAGGGGGTTGCTTACTTCTCTGTCGTCCTCGCTGTCATTGGAATTTATCCCATCCAAGCAGCAGCCGCTTCATGGAACGCAAACAACATTGCACCTGCCTCGCGACGAGCGATTGGCATTGCGCTGATGAACTGCGTCGGAAATGTTGGTGGCATTGTCGGTAGCTTCATGTACCTGGAGAGTGAGAAGCCCAAGTACCACACTGGATTTGGATTGAGCTTGGCCTTTGGAGGCAGTGGCCTCATTGTAGCACTTTTGCTTGAGTGGAGCTACAAGATGGCGAATGCGCGCAAAGCTAAGATTGCCGACGAGGCAAAGGAGAAGTACACTGAACAAGAATTGTTCGCTTTGGGAGACAGGTCGCCTTTATTCAAGTATGTGCTGTAAAGCAATTGATAGAGGACGAGGGTTACGTTTTGAAGGAATGCCAGTTTGAAGGCACATTAGTTAAATTGTTATTGAGTCTATAGGAGGAGATGTACGGAGGCTTTGCAGCGTAAATCTCAAATACTATTTGTCGAATAGTTAAATGGTTGTATCAAGTTTGAAATGTGAGCTAACTAAGCGGCTTCATTCTGCCCCTCTACCATCCACATGATATAGTGGCATTGAAGTGAATTTGATAAGCAGTTCACTAATAATGATTTGAAAGGAGCAGTCACTATTTCTAGGAATGATGTATCCTACTTAAGTCAAACCTACCTGGGTAGGAAGTGTGCCTTGTGACTTGAAGACAGTTCCAGGGGCGAGGTTGCTGAATTTCGTTGTTGCCATATATCTCCTTTCCATCATATGATTTAATAAACATGTCAATAGTATCTTCCACTGGAAAACAACTTTGTTCAGTTTCGAGAGGTTATAGACTAGTTTTCAGTGCCCCGGGCATTAAGACACCAGCCAGTAGTGAGCAGTCGCTAGGCGCCTTCGTCAAACTTTTTCAGACAAAGCGATTTTACTGAGCTTTGATTCCCATAAGCTGGCTGCCGTTGACAGTGAGGATGCACCATCTATCGCCTAAACCAGGCTTGGTTGGCTCCCAGTCAGCCATCATCGGGATCGCTTCCAAAACCCTACCAAATCAGTCCATGCCAGGGGGGTTCTGGGGGTCGTATCTTGGGCCAATTAGAAGCTGGATTGAGAAGCTGGTGTGGAGACGTCAGGCCATGCATGGGGTTAGCTCATCTGCCATCAGAATGATTCATCCTGTGGCGTTTCTGACTAGCCAATAATACTGCTTGCTTTCATGCATTGCCCCGCTTAGGGGACCCACTTTCCGATGAGTAGCTTCCAGTCGACAACTCACTAACCCCCAAGCTGTCAGCACATGTTGGGGGCCTCTTGGCGGGTAGAGAAGCATAGGGACACGGCAGGTATATTAACTATCACAGGATGCTCACTTTGTTCCGCATCTATAATTCAAACCTACAACTTCAACTTACTACACTGCGCTTTATACCCCGTACGTTAAAAAAGTACAAGCACACTTACACATCTTTCTTCGAACCTAATTCTATAATGGTGGGCGGCACAACTACTACCAGCGGCACGACTAGCCCAGTAAGACTTTCAGACCAACCAAAAGAAACACCCGAAGAGATGCCCGTCTTTAATCACGAGCAATGTCTTTTTTGCAACAAGCTCTTTGATACCTTCGATTCCAACGTAGCACACATGCAAACAGCACACGGTCTATTCATACCCGATAAGAAGCATCTTATCGTAGACTTGGAAACGCTATTCTCCTACCTTCACCTCGTCATAGTCGGCTACAATGAGTGTATCTGTTGTGGGACTCAGAGAAACTCTACTCTCGCAGTACAGCAACGTAAGTCAACTTCACCTCTCATCTTGAAGAGAGGCAACCAATAATTTGTGGCTGACGCTAACATTTCGCAGATATGGTTGGCAAAGGCCACTGTAGGTTCGATATCTCTAGCCAAGACTCAGAGTATGCGGATTTCTACGATCTTTCCGGATCAGAAGCAGAAAGTGAAGAAGATGAAGACACCGACGACACCTCCAAGCCAAAGAAAGGCGAGATGGAGAACCCTATTGTGCAGCCAGATGAAAATTCTTTGAGACTTCCTTCTGGCCGGATTATATCAAACCGCTCTCAATCGAATAACAATATTCGGCGACAACTCCTTAGATCACGGTCTCCAAACGAGCCAGAGCTATTAGAAGGAGGATCAACCAGCAATGAGAACACTGAGAAGACGGAAACTTCAACGTCATTAGTAACCCGGTCGGGCAAGGGAGGGCTCGCTCTAACAAGGAGCGAAAAACAAGAGAGCAAATTTGCTAAACAGCGCGCCACCCTTAGTGCCAATGATGAGAGGAGTATCGCTCATCTCTCTTTGCCAGAGCAGAGATCGGTGCTTGCTATCAAGCAGAAGCAGGTGGAGAAGGCCCAGCGGATTAACGAACGATATCGTGGCCGATTGGAGGGGCTTGGAAATCAATTTTTGATGACGCATTTTGTGAAGGATGCGGCAGATAAAAGAACACTGTGGAAATGAATCACGAAAATAGATACCTAATACATCATGTGATATCGTCTCCCATACCAGTTCTCTACAACAAGGCAAAGTGACAGTGATTATGGATTTCATCGCCGCTTATCTTCTCCATCGCTTTCATTTCGTATTCATCACTTTCACTTGGGTACTCTATAAAGATTGAGAGACTGCAGACTGTGAAAAGAACCTTGGGGTCAAACCTCGATCTCATCCGGCCTACAATAGATAGGGCGTCTCTAAGCTAAGTGGGAAAGGCGGCTACGGCACATCGGCACTTCCTTGTAAAGCCACTCCACAGCCAAGACTAAAAGGAAAGCTTAATTCTACTAAACACAGAGACCCTGGAAAACCAAGCCCGGTGGCGTTCGGTTACTTATCCTTGCATGAAGTGTTTTGTTCACTGCCGGATATCCGTTGCTCATCAATCTGCATCCCAACCAATAAAATTAGCTTCTGCCTTCTTCGTACGTTTGCTCAATGTTACGGCCAGCTAGTGACAGTAGGGTTTCTGCTAACAGAAGTTAAGGCTACGTTTACTAACAATAGGTCTTGCGTCGTATACTAGTAGGTCATACTAGTAGATCGAGGGTTAGGGTAAGGTAATCAGTCTTACACTAGAGTAACGAGGTATAGTAATATTCATAAACTATAAGCTAAGCTAAAAGTCATTAGGAATAAATCATAAGTTGATTACTAAAGAACTATCTAAAAGGTCTTAAGCAGGTACTTAAGTCCTAGTCTATTGTTACGGCCAGCTAACTGACAGTGGGTTTGTGTTAACAGTAAGCCAGGGATTGACAACAGTAACAGTCGTTCTGGGGTCTGGTCGATTGAATCGTAGATCTTCAAAGGTCTTGGTGATCAGTCAAGGCCTCAACAAGAGTCGTAGAGTAGTCGTCACTTAGGTATAGCTGAAAGTACCGGTTAGGGTAATCACAAAGTTGATTGCTGAAGAGCTATGGAAGTCTGACCATGGGCCGAGCTCAGGTCATACTATATACAAGTCCTGGACAGTCCCTGTGTCTTGTCGCTGATCACTGATCAGGTACCGGTGAGCGATCAGTGATCGTTGGTGAGCGCTCAGTAGCTCTGACTGAGCGCTCAGTGACCCATACTACCTGCTCAGTCTTATCTTATCATCACGTGACTTGTACCATAGTTCTTCCGTTCCCGAGTGAGTCCCTGTTGTTCCCGTGATCCTGCAGTACAAATGTCCTGTTCTAGCCGCCCGACGCCCAAGTGGGTCGTTCAGAAACATCAACAACAGCGAGAACGAAATTTTTGAAAATCGGAGCAAAAACGGCCCCAAATACGCGTGCTCGCGGCCACAGAGCCCCCTTCGATGCAATGCCATCCTCGGCCTTGATTCTACGTCCCAAAGGGGCCCAAGATGGCCGCAGAGCACGCCCCGACTACAATGAAAAACTTGAGAGCAAGCCGCAAAATACGACATATCAATAGACAACACTGTTACCACCACCACAGGCGAGCCACAAGCCGCTACACGAAGCACTAAGACTGCGCCCAAACAATCAACTTCAACACAACAGCCGCCGACAGGTTTTGGGTCACCTGTCACCCCCGACAAAGTTTGCAACGTCCCACAACGACGAAGATGAGTCCGACAGAACAGTATCACCTTCCGCACGGAGAAAGCACCAGGCATTAGGCATGCTACGATCGATGCCACACAATACTACAGACCACAGACAGACTGGTCCCCTGTCGCCCTTTTTGCGAAGAAGGATTAGTGTCCCTTCAACGCGCGACAATGTCTGCGGAATCTGTGCGGGAGCTCTCATACCCAGTAATCGAACATGTCGGAGTCAGTGGAGCATTGTGCTTCGTGGAAGACCCTTGGGCCAATGTGGTGGAGGGCAATAGTGGTCAACAGGCAAGAAACAAGAGGCCACATAGGAACCCGGCAGGAGGCAACAAAGAATTTATAGATGCAACTGAGAAAACGGCATATACAAGTCCGGGAGGATACGGACAAAACAAAGAGACAAAGCTAAGCGCTGGGGGGAGACTGTAGGTACAAAGAACCAGATACGGTGCTACCAGCACCAACTGAACCGAAGCAGGAGGACGCAAAACAAGCATTCTAGAGAGCAACACAAAAGCGAGAAAGCAGACAGGAGAGCAATACACTTCTTCAACAGAGGGCACAAACACACAGAATAGAGAACATAGTGGGGAGCTTGGGGATAGCTAGCCCTGATGCAACATCAGGGCGAAGTGGGGCGTCGCTGTTCATTGTCGACGCTTCGGCTACCTGCCAAACCCCGCTTTCCGGGCATAGCTGCTGGCATAAGAGCGGCTTCATAACCGAGTAGGAATAAATCAATCAATCAATCAATCAAGTGGGTCGTTCAGCTGTTATCCTTGTTTACGGGTCGTAACATCAGGTCTCCTCTCCAAGGGTCTTGTCCTCAAGACCAGCTTAAGTAGGTCGTCTGCCCTCAGGTGGGAGGGCGCCCAACTTGCTTCCTTTAATGATGCTCACATCATGTCAGGTCGCGTCAAAAAACGAAAGGTCGTACGAGCGTTCGATTCTCGTGCGGAAAAGACAAAGCAGCGCGATTCCCTCTTGAGTCTTATCTTGGGCAATCGTACCGTCATGCCTGTTTGTTCCTCCTGTGAGGTAAAGGGTTTTTCGTCGTGCGAAGCTTCTCTTTCTGATTCCTCTCGATGCGCCGAATGCGTTCGTGGCGGCAAGTCCTACTGCGACCTTCAGGGTCTCAGTGCCCAACAACTTCGTCGGATTGGTGATCAGCATCAGAAGCTTGAGGATGCTTTGGAGAAGGCAGAAGAGGAGCGTCGTGCTCTGGACGCCAAAGTAGAGCGTCTTCGAAAGCAGAAAAAGATGTGGTTTGAAAAGATGATGCGCGCGGTGCGCCGTGGTATCGACAGTGTGGAGGAGTTAGAGCGTGTTGAGAGAGAGGAGGCAGAGGCAGAGCAGCGTCGGGTAGAACCGGTTCGTCCTTCGGCTGATTCGCCTCGTCTGCCGGTAGAGTTCACAGCGGATTGGGGTACCCTGTACCCGGATGTCGCTTTGTCGCCATCCTTGTTGGCTGAGTTTAGTTTGTTGGATTCAGGGTCGGTTGTTGAGAGGCGGAGTACTCCTGAAGCGTCTCCTGGGGGTGTTGGAGGCCCTTAGTGGGTTCCTTTAGGCGGCTCTGGGGTTCCTAAACGAATGAGAGGGTGTTTATCCCGTGGCTTGTTTGATCGTGGTGGACGGATGATGGGTTATGGTTGTCGTAGTCGAAATTGACTTTTTGGCGTTTGTTTTTCGATTCGTACTAGTGCTTGTCTTTGTTGTTCTTGTTCTTGCTGTCTCCAGTAACGTCCGAGTTCTTCCTATGCGTTTTCGAGGCTCTGAGGTGGTTCCCATGTGTTGTCTTCGTGTCCGTATCCTTTCCACTTGACAAGGTAGCGGGTACTTTTTTGTTCTTCGATGTGATCGATTATCCGTTCGACTTCGTATTCTTGTTCTGGATCTACTTCGATATAGTCCGTAGTATACAATCCCTTTGGTGCTGATTCGAGAAGTGAAATGTGAAAGACTGGATGACACTTCATGCTGTCGGGTAGTGCGAGTTTAAAGTTGACGTTAGATACCTTCTTCGTAATTTCAAAGGGTCCAAGTTTCTTGAAGTCCAACTTATCGCTTGGTCGTTTTGTTTTGATGTTGCGGCGGAGAAGGTATACACTATCCCCCTCCTTTAGAGTTGGTCCCTCAACTCTTGATTTGTTGGCGTATTTGCGCATGCGTTCGCGCACAAATTCGAGGTCTCTGGGGAGTTCCTGCTGGATCTCCTTAAGTCTGTTGATGTCTGCCACAGCTTTCAGAGCTGCTAGGCCTTGTCGAGGTTGTCCGTAGGCTGTTGGGTTGAATCCATAGTTCAGATAGAATGGTGATTCTTTTGTACTTTCTCCTACTGCGCTATTATAGGCGAACTAGGCCATAGGTAGCAGTTGAACCCAGTTGTCTTGCTGATAGTTGACGTAGCAGCGTAGGTAGGTTTCCATGATCTGATTGATTCGTTCTGTCTGGCCATCGGTTTGCGGATGGAAAGCGGTAGACATCTTGTAGTCAGATCCTAGCTGCGAGATCAGGGATCTCCAAAACTTGGAAGTGAACAGCTTGTCTCTGTCGGATACGATTTCCTTCGGCATTCCGTGTTGGCTTACGATCACCTGCAGAAACTTGTAGGCGAGGTCTTCTGCAGTGCTTGACTCCATGTACGGGATGAAGTACGAATACTTTGTGAGTCTGTCGACGATGACGAGGACACTGTCGTAGTGGACGTTGGTCATCGGTTCTCGGGACTTAGGTAACTTAGTGACGAAGTCCAGCGAGATGGATTCCCATGCGGTTTGCGGCACTGGGAGCGGCTGTATCTTTCCATAAGGCTGATGTCGGCTGGGTTTGCTTTTCGCACAAACCTCACAGTCCTTAATCGCTAAAGATACTTCTTGTCGTGTAGCCGTTTTGTCGTAGTGTTGACGGATGCGTTTCCACGTTTTGGTTACGCCTTGGTGACTATGTGCGGGTGCGGAGTGTATCTCCCTAATGGCTTCAGGAGACATCCTTCCAGGCGTGCTGGTACTGTCTCTTCTGGCCATCATTAAGAGTCTGGCTGCTGGCACAAGGTCTCCGTTTTTGTCTGTTTTGAGGATAACTCGGGTTTCCTCAGGTACCTAGACCTCGTGGTCCGGTCGTCGGCTAAGGGCGTCGGCCCTGCCGTTCTCTTTGCCTTTCCGGTAGATGATTCTGAAATTGAATTCTGACAAGAATTCGGACCATCGAATTTGTCGTTTGTTAAGATCTTTCGATGTAGTGAAGTATGCGAGATTCTTATGGTCGGTGTATACTTTGACCTCGTACTTGGTTCCTGAGAGTTGCGGTCTCCATTCTTTGAATGCTTCGATAATTGCCATGAGTTCCTTGTCGTGTATCTGGTAATTAAGTTCTGGGCCGTATAGTTTGCGTGAGA